CTTTTGTTGTGAGGGCCTACGCCGTCACAGGTGGGCAAGGAAATCGTTTCATGATGGAAACCGCTCTTTCTCTATTTCAGATAAGGCATCACACTTGGGGTTGGGAATTTAGATAACACTGCACTTTTGTTCAGAATCAGATTTGTGATTGTCGTGCCACAAAAAAAAATACTTCACAGCTATAACTGACTGCGAAGCGCAATGCATTTCTCCTTGATCTCCACAAAAGAATCAGCAAATTTCTCACAAAGAGAGACCATTTTAAGACTGACGGTCATTTCTTGATGAGACTCTTGCCTCCCACAACAAGTGGTACCGTAGTATCCATCTACAGAAAGCAGGTCAATTGCACTTTGAGTTCAGAATTCAGTGGGCTGCGCTGGTGATTCATGCCACCATTGCAGACCTGAAACAAATATGGCATCAACTGGGGGGCCAGTCCATTCGCTCTTACCTCCAGGATGAGCAACCTGAAGCTAACCGTTGAAATTTTGTTCTCCATGTCAAGAATGTGTCTAGAGACATCTCCCCAGTGCTCAAAGCACAGCAATGGGCTTTGCTTGAGATTTCTTGCTGTATTGTCTCGATGAACACCCTGATGCCGTTCATGCTATCAGATACACCTCGCTTCGGCAGTGCGGAAATGGAGGTCATCATTCGGAGGAAGCTGTCGATCACACCTTCTGCCCCTCGGATCGTCAGAGTGGGCGACGCCTTTGAGGCGGGCGTCATCGTCACGATTTCGGGAGGGATGGTTTCAAATGTGCCCATAACCGTGGACCTGAAAATCGAGGGCGACTCCCAGGATCTCCTGTCGCTGACAGTGGAATCTGAGAAAGAGATTGTGACATATGCTGATGGCCAGGCGGAGGCTCGTTTTGGATTGAAGGCCGAGGCTATGGGAGAAGCGAAGTTTGTCATAAGTGCCGGTGCGCATGCACAGCGTATCGACACTGTAGTCGTTGATCTGGGACTGCAGATTTTTTTTAGTTGGTTTGTGGCGTTTAGGGCACAGTAGCTATTGAAGAAACAAACCATCAGCAACAATATACTATCGGATATGGGTGTGACTCGTCCTGGGATGACAATGATCCTGTTTATTTGTTCAAAGCGAATGTTGTGGAAGTCTTGTTGGCACTATGATGTGGTAACTGATATTCCCACCCATTTGTGTGTGCGTATGCTGTGTGCACGTATTCTGTACATCTCCCAACCTCGGGGTGGGGGAGGGGGCGCACGTCGCCACACCGTTGCCCATGGCGTCGCTGGGAGAACTGGGAGCCCTGCCGAAGCCCTCGACGGCCACCCCCTATTGCCCCTTGCGAAAATCCCGCCGACACTGCGAAAGCCCAGCTATCCTCCCAATCCCTTTCGGCGACGTTGCCGGGGGTCGCGCCGCCGTCGCCGGCGAATTCGCCGCGGGTTGCGCCTTTTCCCCTATATTGCACAGCTGATGGCCACAGCATGCATCTTGGAATTGACGAGTTTGCCAAACGCGCTCAAACTTTTGTAGCAAAGTTGTGGAGAAAGGGGATTTGCAATCATAAGAAGTCTCAGATGCTACAGTTGGATTGAAAAGTTGCCAAGAGATGTGCTGCATATTGTTTTGTGTATGGCTATTCAGGCGATACTTCAGGGTCTGGCGATGCGCTGAGGCTGGAATTGCCCATCCTTGGGCTCCAGGATCCCGTCACTGTCGCAACGTCTTTCGCAATCCAGGCTATGGAAAACGAAACGGCGACTGCTGTGGAAGTCCTGGATCTGCCGGCTGCGCTGCCTGGCACTGGTGGCATTGACCTTCAGGCCGGTGTGGGACGATTGCCAGCGGTCCTTGCCAATGCGCGGCAGATCTTGGAGACAAATGTCAAGTATGCTTCGAGCACAGATCATCACTTTGCTGCGAGCTCAGGCCATGTCAATTGTGCCTTGATCGCTGTATTTTCTGCAGTGAAGCCATTCATAGCTAGCAAATCATTGGGTCAGGTGGTTCTTGAGCCGCGCGAACTGCGCGAACATTTTCAAGTGTGTCCAGCACTTGAAGCGGACCGCCTGGCTCAGTTGTGACTTAGACTTGGAATCCATTGAATTTAGGCTTTCATTGTGCAGAGTGCCAATGGAATTGCATAGAGAACGCAGTGTTCCTCCAGGTTGCCGAAGTCAAACGCACATACAGCAGGCACTGAAATAGTTGGTTCATAGCATTTGATTGTTGCACGCCCTTTCTTGGTCACAGCAAATTTGCACATCATCCAGTATTGTATCGACAGCTAGGCAAACACTTGCACTGCTAAACCTGTTTTTGTTTAGCTCAATCACTGCCTCATGCTCGCTCTGTTTGCTGTCTCCCGCAGCCATACCTGCCCACACGATGGTTCCCTTGAACTCGCCCACGCCGCTGTCTCAGCAGCGCTGCACATGTACGACCTGTATACCCCGAATGAAGATGAAGAACAGGGTAGCACAATGCAAGTGGTGCTGGCCACATCAGAAGCGAACTTCTCTCGCGCCCTGCAGAATCTCGTGGTTGGCAACTTGACACATTCTAAATTTGGGCTCACGTGGTGGATCGCCTGCCCTGCTGGTCGCCCTGAAATGAGACCACGAAGGTCTGCCAGCATCTACCTAAACGCCCAGGCCGTGTGGCTACAGGATTCACTGCAGGACCTCCTGAAGAGCACTGACCAAGAGGTAGCTACGCACTCTGCCCCGATTCTATGCCAATGAACTATGGGTTTAAGTGTGGCATGTAGTTTTCGCTCCACAAAATCGCAAACAATGCGCAGGCCGATTTTGAGTCACGCCTCACAAATGTCTGTAATGTGCCACTCGCGGCGGGGTTGAATCTTGCGATCTCGCCAGTGAGCCAGTTGTTGTTGAAGGCATCCGCTATGCTCCTGGTAAACGAGCCCACTTTGCGGCTCACATTTGTAAAGTACAGAAGCTTTGAGGCAGTTGAGGTCATGAGAGGCTGAACTGCAGGGTCATGTCGGAAAATGGCATTCTCAGCACTGTCCTAGGTAGGAGCCCTTAACATCTCGACCATTGTCTTGTCTATCAGTACGCTGCATGCATGGAGATTTCCATTGTATTTTGTGCACACTCTCTTTTGAATTGTTGTATCGTTGTGCCCCAAAATGTTTGTCTCGTTGATTGTATCCTGTATGTCTGCATAGGTGTTTCTGGAAGGTGCAGATGCTCTGAGAAAGCTGTCTAATGAGCACTGGAGACCTGCGCTTGCGACTCAACTGGTCAGGAATGCCCAGGAATCGAGATCGCGGCGATTTTTTGGACCTATCGGCTTATCAGCGGTTGCACTTGCCAGGTGATCTCATCGGCAGAATCGGGTACTTGAGCTGTCAATTTTTCTTCTCAATGGACCATGCATCTTAAAGTATCTTCCATTGTATTGAATGCAGCAGGCAATGCGATGTTCACTTATGGCTTGGCGCAGTGCTTTTGCCTAGTATGCTGCTTTGAGGGAGTTGTTTACTTTGAAGCCTGGGGGGCCTTGAATCATCGCCAGTTCAACAACAGATGTTATGATTGCCAAACGTACTGAAAATGCTGAACTGAGGGCTGCCAGGGAGCTTGTGACGCTCTCCTGGTGGTTTTGTAATTCCACATAACAGAGCAGTGCTTGCGCGCAGCAAGCAAGAATAGGATTCTTTCCTGCCTAGAAAACCATCCCACCCAACCCTGCAGCAACGCAGAACGAAACAAAACGACAAGGCGGGAAAGAGACTGGGAAAAATTTGCGGGAGTAAAACAGGCCACTCCTAGAAATCTATATGTGTGCGGTGTGCGCTGTGGTGAAGTCGGAGATCACAGCAAACAGTATTAGGCGTATTATTGTCTAATGTGGCCAACACAAGACAGTAGAAGCTCATCCCGTTCATTCCCTGGTTCAGGTTTGCCCTTGGAAGAGATTGGGCACCTCCCGAAGGCACAAAACCACAGATAGTGGATGATATTTCCATGGAGCGGTTGGAGAGGGAGTTTGACAAGCTGGACATGGAAAGCAAGGCATATGTCGCTCTGATTCATCTTCGCAATCAAAGCCAGACAGGAGACGAGTTAGTTGCCCGGGCCATTGACGAGTGGACCTCGAACTTCCGTGTTGGTAGACGAACTGCCTACATCGCCACATGCAATGGCTGTGCCACTCCGATCGGTAAGCATCTGAATACATGATGTGCAGAACACCGTTGCATATGTTTATTAAAGTTTACGTGGCACATGGAACTTGTGCCACCGAATCTGTGGCACAAAGGAAAATTTTGCCATCCAAGAGGCAATCCCTCTTGAATAGAAAAAAATCTGCGAGGGTCTTTCCCATGCGGTGAAAGATATCGTAAAAATATCATCAGTGCCATAAAAGAAGACATAGGATCACATACGGCGTCGCAGTGTGCACTCAGTGGAGCGTTTGGCTGATGATTACTGCGTCACTGGCAATCATGCCCTGCGCCCTGTGAAGCGATGGAGGCTGTTTGGCATGGCATGTGTTGTAATTGGTTATTGAATTCAGCAAGACTGCAGGAGAGGAGAACCTGAGCCCTGTGCCTCAAAGAATTGCTGAAGGAGACACATGAATCCATGTCTTTATTTTTAACAGCGTTGTGGTTCCTGGAGACGTGGTGGCTCCCCTTTTTGGCCTTGTAATTTGCTTTCCTCCAGACACAGTTATTATAAACATGGCGTGGCGCAAGCAATCTGGTTTTCCATGTTTGACTGTTACATGGCTGTGTTCGACACAGCAGCACGGACTGTGATCTGCTGTAGGGTTGAGCCCGCTGGCGGTAGAGTGCTGGTAAATTGCCTGGTTTTGAGGCCATTTGCCAAAAGTCTGCACACAACCGCCTACTCCGCAGTAAAGAGAATCTGACACCTGTGCACGCGCTCGCAAGGGGAATGAATTGTAAAAGGGAATGAGCTGCATCCTGCTTGCAGGATTGAGGGGCAATGCGCTTGTGCTACTTGCAATGACCCGTGCTGGGCAGGCCGCGGGGCCATTCAAAGAGAAGCTGGCCAACTATGTTTCCAGTCCCCCTGCTGGCCAATACGCATACTTTGCAGATTACATCGAAAAAATAGTGGTGATGCTGGCGCTTGGAGAATACGATCTCGCGAGAGGCTCGGCAGACCCAGACCTCCAGATGGTTGCCACAAGTGGAGATGTTGAGCTACTGCAGGTAGGAATTACTTCCAGGCAAGCTTGTTTTGGGCGATATTGCGAACATTTAAGCATAACAATTTCTTGGTATTTGAAGAAGGTGTAAAATAAACTGCTCCCTGCGGTGATATACGTCAGCGAATTAAAACTTGTTGAGTTGAGGAATCCGCACGAGCAGTGGTGTATTTCATTTTGCTTCATATGTGTCGGTGTGCCATGGTTTGGCCCTGATGCATACCATGAATCGGGAATGATGCAATGATATCAATACTACCAGTACTCCCGTTGCCACCTATCAATATTGCTACTAGTATTAAAATGTTTCGTCTCACTGCCTCGCAAATTTTTCGATCCAGACGATTGCAGTGCTTGCCTGAAGAATGGCACAGGAATGCACAACGCCAGACCAAAACGTTGAGTGTTGTGTCAATTTGACGTTTGAAAGTGAAAAAATTTGTTGGTTCCAGTATGAAATGTTGATTAACGTGTTTTCGGTTTGTGTGCTGTTGACAGGCCAAATTCACGTCGCCTCAATCTCCCATGGTGGTTGCGGGAACCCCTTGGTCTGTTCTGAGTCAACCCCCAGATCCCCTGCAATTCTCAGTGGAGGGAAGCGGTGAAGTCACCATTGCTGCGCTGCTCAACTTCGTTCCTGCGGAGCCGCTGCCGTTCCCAACGTACAGAGGCATCTACGTGGAGCAGGCTATTCAGCTGATTGACTCGTCGTCCGATTTTGATAAGCCGATGGGCATGCCACTGTCGACAGTCCCTCTTGGATCAATCGTCATCGTCACCACCCAGGTAGCGTTCGATCGAAAATCTATTCCAACACCTGCCTGTTGATTGGTTGCTTACCAATTGGTTTGGCAGGTTGTTTGGTCTTTGTGACTGAAACTTGACGGGCGGTGTGTGGTTCCTTTGCCTCTTGCTCTTGTGCGTCCGCTAGCCGTCATTGACGCTTGTGGGACTAATGATTTTTGAATCGAATTTGCACTGTGTGAAATACGTTTTTAAAATAGATTTGCAACGACGGTGTCCCCTGGCAGGCCCAGGCACAGCGGGCTTTGTTCCTGCCTGCGTCCATCGGTTGCAACAGTCTGACACCGTGCTTTGTGATCGCAAATCAAGCCATGATAATTGGTTTGCCCACCTGCACTCTTGCTAATGATTTCACTAGGAAAAAAAGCGCCAAATACCGCTTTTGCGAGCACACACAAAACACATTTCATCAAAGTTCTGCACGCTAAGAACACAAAAATAACACAAACCCGTAAAATTTTTACACGTTTGAACACGTGTTGTTTGGCCCTCTTTTTCCCAGTGTTTGAGGCTATGATTCTCTGCAGGCAACGACGCCTGACGCCCTGGATGCAACCACCATCCGTGTGATGATGCCCGGCGGCCTGGAGCCCGTGGATCCCAACATTGAAAGCTACTCACTCGGGTCTTGCGCCCTCACGTTTTTCGGTGTCTTCAGAATCTTTTCGTTCTTCAATTGCCCATACCAGGTATTCCACTCTCCAATCAAGTTCGGCGATGTCCTTATGGGCAGCACCTTTGTGCGCATGCGAAGTCTGTGAAGCTCTCCGCTGGCACCGTCAGATGTGTCACCACAGAGTTGCAATTGACATTTTCATCTCCTGACATGCCCCAACGAGGTAGCGGGCGTTGAGCCCTCATGTTTGGATAAATGCAATCAACGAAGCTCATCAAAACCGTTGTATTTCACCCGCCTCGCAGGAGACGCTGCCCTCTGTCGTCACCTTCCGCTACAATCGCCTCCGCCCAGGCACCCATGTGATGCGCGTCCGAGCCGTGGCGGCCACGCCCGGCGTGTTTGGGCTTCCTCCCGCTGCCGCCTTCGTCAACTCCCAACCAGAGCTCATGGGCCTCAGCCCCGCCGGGAGCTTTGAAGTGTGTGACGGAGAGGGCTGCGAGGCTGTGCCCTTGGGGGCCGCTCGGACGCCCAAGGCCTGTCCGCAAGGCTGCAACAACAATGGGCTGTGCGACCTGGACAAAGGGACCTGCCTGTGCTTCGAGGGCTTCAGTGGGGACGCATGCGGCGCGCTTGTGAAGGCATAATGGAACACGCCCAAAAGGCATCTAGACGTTAGCCATCGATCTCTGAAAGAGGACAGGAAAAAATTTTGCCTTCTACAATTAGCGGTGGTGCAATCACAAGTGTGTTTGGAACCCAGTGGCCTGCACTCATGCTTTTCCAATGTTCATTGCATTTAAGAACTAGTTTGGCTGTCACAGGAGTGGGAGATCTCAATGATTCTACTGCGGCTCGGAGTGGAATGCTCGCAGTCTGCGAGCGCCATTAAATTTTATTCCCGAATAAAGTTCTTCAACCACCAGCAAACTTCTGCTCAACTAACTCTTTTCCAAAACAATACTGTTGTGGGAAAGAGCTAGCTGAGCGGCATTAATGCAAGACGAATTTCCAAGCAGACATGCAGTAAATGGCGAAGTGTGTCCCAATTAAAGGTACTTTGAGGGAACACAGTGCGGCGTCACTCCCTGTTGTGCCCCGCTATTAGCAGCTTGGGCTGTGGGATCATTCTTTAAAACATTCCCCCCAACACTGTAAAGGTGATAGCCTTGTCGACACTGGGCAAGAAAGGTTATTCGATGCCCAGAAGCTATAGGCCGATCAGCTTGCTGTTTGCCATGGGAAAATTTTGCAGAGAAAATTATGGGCAAGAGGTAAATGAACTTCTTAGAGTCCCAACGCTTCTTTCCACATTAACAATTTGGATTCAGATGGGGTAGAGAGACAGAGCAGGTATATTGTGGGTGACACCATCGGTGGTAGTTGCGATTTGCTGGCGCTGCCAGGTACAGGCAATGATGCTGGACATCCAGGCAACGTGTGCCAGGCGGGTTTGTTGGAGAATCTTATATGGAAGTGGGTCTTGGGTTACTTAGCAAGCTGGGTTCTTAATGGGTAGGCACTATTTTCTGAGATTCAGGGAGGCGAAGGTGTAGATTCGCCCCAAGTGCAGGGTCCCTCAGGGCTGTCCACCATTATTCACAGTTTTTATGAGCAAGCTGCTCTGGATTTTGGGTAGGATTTGGGAGTTGGGCATACGGGCATTTGCAAACAATCTAGCGGTATGGGCAAGTGGGCGTTTTCATGATGGATATACACACAAGGGGCTCCAAGCAGCACTGAGGGTGGTGGGGGATGGGGTGGGGATAGGTTCTGTGCTGGCGGATAGTATTCTCAGTTATAAATGTAAGTCAATTCCTTTTTGCAACTGGCAAGTGGAAATCAAGCAGCCTTTTGTAGCATGGCTTGGGTTGGAGCAACTTTTGTATGCTTGGGTAATCTCTATTTGGGCATTTGGTTTGATGCTTTCCTGATATGGGGCCGCTAGATGTTGAGGTTCACAAGGGTGGCACGGAGTTGGTTGTGGGCACTTGGGTGTTGCATCTTTGGTGTCGCGCTTGGGTTTCAACCCTTACACATTTCTGGTGGTTGTCAAAGAGAGCCGCCATTCCACAAATGTCCTATGGACCGCGTGCTGGGCCTCAGTCTTTTGTGCAGGGGCACACCTTGGCTAACTTGGATGGTGCTCTGGCTAGAGTGCACCACATTGCTCGAGGTGGTGATGGCACTTGCTGAAGTTCCCCCTGCGCAATCCATGTTTTGTGATGCCTCTGCTGCTACATGGTGGACCTCGACCACGATTGGATTCGTCCATGCCACATCTTAGCTTTGGAGTTGGGCTGGATGCGGTCCTAACATTGTGTGATGGGTGGATGCTTTCCATCCCCTTCCCGTGTAACAGAGGAGTTATCTGGAGAGCCATAGATTGCGGACTCATGCCAACGTGGCAAGTATGGTAGAGTCAAGTGGAGGTGGACTCGTTGTTTCACGAGGCACTGCCAGCTGTCAGATGTGCATGGAGACCAGGGGATGCAGAGCTGGGAGGAAGGCTTGACATTACCTACATGACACGATTCCTCATGGCACATTGTCACTTGGGGAGTTGCAGTGCTCCCCAAGCCCCATATGCATGGGAGCCCTAGTGAACACCTAGGGAACACCTAGTGTGGGAATGTAGAGGGATTACACATGAGAGGGAGCGGCTATTTGGGGACGTTGGTGCCACGAGATCGGGGGATTGGGTGTGACAGTTTGCTTGCAGGTTGGATCCGGGGATTTCAGTTGGGGAGGCTCATTCACAACGTCATAGGGTGAGTTGAATCAGCTCAGGTCGGTTCAAGAGACCTCTCTCACTCACCCTAGGGTGAGTGAAAGGACACGGGGGAGGGGCCTCCCAAAAGTTTTGGGGATGGAATCGCGTGGATTTCATTGACCTATGGGCTTGGGCTATCTTGTGCGGAGACTATACCTTGTGAGTTTGTGGGGGTGGGGCCACCACTGTTGGGGGGGATATGTGTAGCACTGGTTGTGGCCACTTTACAATCTTGTGGCTATCTTAAACATGGTCAGACATACCATGACGGTGATATGCATCTCGGATCCGTTTCACCAATTGTAGGAAATCTTCTTCTTCACCTTCTACCCATCCAGGCTCCTTTCAAAAAGAGCCTACAGGATTAAGATATTTCTAAGTTCACTCCCCCCAACGTATCAAAGCATAGAGTCCGGAGTTTTGGTGCCGGTAACAATGCACTTTTTCAAACACCTGCCAAACTTCCCGATTTCCAACATTCCTCGTGCAAGGTTCCATTGCATCCACGAGATGGTGAAAGTTCAATTTCCACAGGCTCATGGAGATGGAGGTGTTACCGTCCAGCACTATAGTCAAGGAACTTGTAGTTTTGATTGGAGTAGGGATTCCTCAAAGCATCCCGCCTCTTGACCTTTTAACCTTGGATGGGGTCCTGCCGACACTCCATATTGTGGTACTTGACCCCCTCCTGCGAGATGATGTTTATGAAAGGAAATTCGCTGGACGGCACTAAGGCGCTGCCGCTCTTGATGTGTTGTGCATAGTGCCTGGGATTGCAGGATATTCCTTTGGCGCACTCTGCCCAATGCGCCAAACCATTGGATATCAGGATTCCTCAAAGCTGATTTGATCCGGGCTGTCCTAAGGTTCCCTCACTTGTTCTGTTTTTGTTATCTGACCTTGCATGCATCTCCCCCAAAGAAAACTTGCTCTCCTTCACCACCAAAAGGCCGCTATTTGGTTCCGCCAGCAGAGCCAACCCTCGTGGCGGCTACGGTTTTCGTTGGCAATGCCAACTTGGCATTGCAGGCCGGGATTAGCTGGGCCGCTTGCGGAATTGGCTGCTTCTTCGCCTTTGGCTTGGGGCCACCGCTTCTTCTTTTGGTCCTCCTCAGAGTTGTGCTGAGCAGCTGCGGTGTGGCCTGCAGGACCTGGCGGCTGCCTTGGCCATCCGTTGCGACTATTTCCTTCTTTACAGTTGGCGTCCCTTCAGAAGTCTCGAGGCTCTCCAACGCGGCATCCATCTTCCTTTTCGCCCCTTTCCTGGCGACTCGTCCTCTCTTTGCGAGGGGCTGGTCGCTGCATAACGTTCTTATATTGCACCCTTCCGCCCAACAACGCAACCCTTGGCATTTTTTGCGCATAAAACGTGGAAAAGACAAAGTAACGCTCCGAAAAAATGCCGAGCAAAAGGCGTAAGGTAAAATTTTGGATGCCGAAGGGTTGAAAATACTATGGTACCACCGAAGCTTCCGCCCATACCACGTGCCCAGTGAGGATTTTTGTCCTTTTCTGCATGTAACATTGTGCGGGGGCGGTCAGAATGGCAGATAATATGATTGCTGCTGCGCTTAGAGCAGCATGGTCACATAATTAAGAAATTAGTTATTGGTGATTGGCGATTCCTGTGAATACATGAATCTTGTGCATCTGCCAATGCTGATGATAATTCTCGACTTCCGTGCGGAATGTATCGACATGCTGGGATCTCTGTGTGCAGGTGAATTCCCTCATTCCAACTATCGCAGTCTGGTTCTTGAAGGTACCCAGGTCCTATCTTGAAACTAAAGCGCGATAGCTACAATATGATTTTCGAGTACTGGATGCGATGTCACTGAGTTTGGGGCCGGGAGGGGGGGGCAAGATGCGCCGGCGAACGACAGCCTCACTCATCCCAATAAAAACACAGCATGACAAGCGCACAGGGCTAGTGTGCTTGACTGTCAGTTAGCGTTGAAGCGTTCGCCAAACGACCAGACCTCCAAGTTCCCCGCCCCAATTGGTAAACGCCACCGGCGAGGGGGCAGACCCTTGGCCAACCCCCATTCCCAACTGAACCCCAACCCTTACTACCTGTTGAGCTCCAAAGGCTCATTGCCGGCGATTTGGATCCCCTATTTGACCTCTGGGGACCGACTCCTGTCGCGCACCGAGGGCTCAATATTGTTGCCATTATGATTTTGGGGGGACTTGTCTACCATCTTATTGTGTTTCTACCAGGAGCCACATTGGGTGGGCCCGCGCACGCATGTCTTGGGCTAGCGGTGCCACCAGCTCGGCAACTTACATCTGGGCAAAAACGGTAGGCACTCATACAGCATTGTGGCTGCATAGCCATTGATGCAATGCCGAGCTGCGCTCCGCAGCTCGACATTTGCTGCATGCAGCAAATGTCCATATATCAATGTTGGCAAGCATTGGTTTGTGGGCGGATATTGTGTGAACGATGATGCATTGGCCTTGTTGCACCATTGTTTAGCGTTGCATCAACGATACTCTACACACAACATATCATGAGCATCCACTCCTTTCTTCCACACGTAGGGCTATCGGTGTCCTATTTTGTCACCACTATGCCTTGGGGCAGCGTGAGGACTGTCGTAGACAAGGTGGGCCAGTCAGCCTGGCCTCCTTGGCTAGGCGGGCTGTTCCGGAGATCGGGTGGGGCTGGTTTTAGGTGCCTCCCTCGGGCCGCCCTTATCTTGTTCCACACCAGCCTGCGGGCTGGCCGGCCGGCCCACCCAAAAAGAGTGATAATCGACCAGCTATGGGACGGTGGGCTTAAGTCAGCGTTGTGCTCTGTGTTGATGCCTGTCATGGCAGATGAGTGCAAGGATATGGTTGGTCATTGTGGGAAAAACGTAATCC